AGGGCCACCCGCTTGGTGAGAGGGCAGCAGGACAGGTCCTATGAGGAGAGACTGAAGGACCTGAACCTGTTCAGCCTCAGCAAGAGGAGGCTGAGGGGGGACCTGGTGGCTACCTACAAACTCATCACGGGAGATCAAAAGCAAATAGGTAGAGCCCTTTTCTCCCCAGCACCACCTGGGGTGACAAGGAACAATGGTAATAAGCTGATGGAGAATAGGTTTAGGTTAGAGATCAGATGGCAATATTTTACAGTTAGGGTGGCCAAAATCTGGAACCAGCTTCCCAGGGAAGTGGTCCTCGCCCCTACCTTGGGCAAATTCAAGAGGAGGTTGGATGATCACCTGTCTGGGGTCTTGTGAACTCAGCATTCATTCCTGCCTGTGGACCCTAGCTACTATGATACTATGATACAATCTGGCCCGCAGGCCAGACTTTGCCTACCCCTGGCCTAGTGGGGGACACTAGTTTATTGGCTGTCTTCTGCTCTTCGCTTAGGTTCCTTATTCTAGCTAGATGTTAACTAGCACAGGTACTAATGCTGCAATCATACCTTTATTGTGCAGTGTAGGCATACTCAGTGTTTGCAGGATCAAACCTTAAAGCAGTTTCTTAAACTCTGTGTAGTTGTTAGGTAAGAGATGCCTGTGACAAACCTTTGGCCCCGAACTTGCAATCTGATCCACCAGAGTGGACCTTATTCCCAGGTAGAGCTCTAGATAGTAGCACAGTTCTTCACCCACTTCAGTCTGATTGTAGTATCAGGGCCTATGGACTTGTCAACATAGGAAAATTGACCAGAATAGTTCTTTTAAATGAGACAAAGTGCTATAGCTCCCTGCACCTCCCCATTTTATCATGGAATAATTAGTTCACTCACAAAGTACACTAATAAATAAAGTACAATGTCATTTTTATCAAGGATTAGAATGTAAATATGGAGAGGTATTTATTGCAGAATAGCTTGTTCCACACCAGCTATTCTGATAAATCTAAGTCCACCTGTAGTGAAGTCCATGGACAAAGTTCAGTTTCACTTTTTGATTCCCCAGCATTTGCT